GGCAGAAGCCCTAAAAGGCATCAAAATGGACAAGTTCGAAAACTGTTTGGAGGCGTGGAGAAAGCGTCTCGATAGGTGTATTGCATCAAACAGAGAGGACATTGAAGGTGACTAAAGTTTAAACATGTAAGGATACATTTTTAAAAAATAAATAAATTCGGTTTCCTGGGGTCCCCTTCATAGATACCACGTTCTCACTATCCACGGGCCAGCGGATGGGCATGTAGGTTGAGTCCCACCTTTTTGGTAAGGTACAGGTGTCTTTCATGTATCACGACCTCTGTTCCTCTGGGCAGGCCATGCTTCTTTTTAAAGACCGGGTCTGCCCAGGCGTTTGGGGGTTTCCGGAATTTCTGTCTGTGAGCCACGTCTGCTCCTGCATTAGGGAGGGTCAGGGACAGGCCTGCTGTCCAGGTCCAGGGTGACGGGAAGAAGGCAGCTGCCCTCGAAGGATGTGGAGACGCATCTCACTAGAGAATGCGTCTCAATCTCCCTCCTCCCTCCCTTCCTCCTGGGAGGAATTGCTTGAGCCCAGTCTGGGCAACACAGTGAGACCCTCATCTCTACAAAAAAAATTTTTTTTTTAAATTTCAAGACCAGCCGGGCAAGTTGGCAAGACCTCATCTCTACAACCAATCAATCAATTAGCCAGGCATAGTGACGTGCCCGTAGTTCCAGCTACTTAGAAGTTTGAGGTGGAAGGACCACCTGAGCCCAGCGGGTCGATGCTGTGGTAGCTGTGAGTGTGCCACTGTACTCCAGCCTGGGAGACAGAGTGAGACTCCAACTCATATAAAGAAAAGAAAAGAAAAAAAATAACCAGGTGTGGTGGTGTGTACCTGTAGTCTGGGCTACTTGGGAGGCTGAGGCAGGGGGACCTCTTGAGCCCAGGAGTCAGAGGCTGTAGTGACCTGTGATCACACCACCGCACTCCAGCCTGGGTGACAGAATGAGACCCTGTCTCTTAAAAAAAAAGAATTCACATCAAAGGTTTGCAGTGAAAGGGTTCAGTGATGCCACAGGCTTATCTCATAGAATGTAGAAGGCTGAATGCTCTGGAATCAGGGCGGGTGGGCTCCTGACAGCCTCAGAGGAACCCACTTTGCATTCACTCCCAACCTCTGTCTGCCTGATGAAGGCTTTGGTGGCTTGAGATGCCAGCGTGGCTCAGGCCTGTGGCCCGAGATCGACTTGGTGGGTCACGGGGGAACTGGGTCCCTTCTTATGGCTTTCCGGGAATGGGAGGCAGCCCTCCCATCACTGGCAGCAGGGCCCAGCCAACGAGACGGAGATGCTTGGGGCAGTCTCTTCCTCTGGTCAGGTGGACGGTCCTGAGCCGATGGGGTGACAAGACTTTGAGCACAGAGTCCTACCAATACACAGACGACCAGCAAACCAGCTGTGAGAAACACTGATCTTGATAAAACCAAACCAGTCCCTTTGTGGAGGCGTGGCCACGGGGCACAGGGTCAGGGTCAATGTGTTCAAAGCGTTACTTGCAGGTGTCTTCTAAAATCATGGCATGAGTCTTGAGGACTGGCCACCCTTTGGAGCTGGCCCCAGCAGGCACTTAGAGACTGGGGCGAGCTCTTCCTTCTGGGTCAGCCCTGGTTCAGGGTCGCGTGCTCTTGAGGTCCCTCAGAACCACGTGGGCTGCGTTTCGTCCAGCAGCTCCCATGACGCCGCCTCCTGGAAGGAAAGCTCCTGTGAGCTACCCCTCCACTCAGAAGCACACGGGGAGGGGGTAGGACTCACAGAGGGCCGGGGACAAGGCAGAGGGGGGCTCGCCAAGGGGGTCCCAGGGCGGCGGGCGTCGGAATCCGCAGGACGACTGCTGAAAGGTCCGGGCTCCCCACCACGCCCCACGGCCCCAGGAGGGTCTGCGTTCACCGTATCTGTGGTCTCAGTCTGAGAGTCACTGTGCTGGATGGGCAGGCGCCGAGTGTGAGAAATTAAAGTCTGGGAACGAGGCTGGGGGGTGGGGAAGATGGGGGTGCACAGACCCGTTCTGGGAGGCCGAGGCCACACGACTCAGAGAATGTGTCCGTACAAAATAGCAGCCTCGGCGAGCTCACTAGGCTTGGGCTTGGCATGGAAAGACTCTCAAAGTCGAGGAAGCCGGCCGGGCACGGTGGCTCAGCCTGTCATCCCAGCCCTTTGGGAGGCTGAGGCGAGAGGATTGCCTGAGCCCAGGGGTTCGAGACCAGCCTGGGCAACTCGGTGAGACCTCATCTCTACAATAAATCACAAAAACGAGCGGGGTGTGGTGGTGTGCGTCTGTAGTTCCAGCTGCTTGGAAGGCTGAGGCAGAAGGATTGTCAGAGCCCAGCAGGTCGAGGCTGTGGTGGCCGCGAGCATGCCACTGCACTCCGGCCTGGGCGACAAGAGTGCGACTCCGACTCAAAAAAAAAAAAAAAAAAAAAAAGGTTGAGGAAGTCAATGCTATCGATGTTTCCTGGTCTAAATCACGCATGGGGAATTTAGGGACATGGGCCTCTCATGAACCCAAACTGGAATGTGGAGAGGCTGCAGCGCAAAAGAGGGCTGTGGCCAGCCTGGCAGAGGCAGCCGCGGGCGCTCACCTGAGCGTGGGGAATTCTGACCACGAGAGGGCTTGTGGTGGGAGGTCTATGCCCCCCATTCACTGCTCATCTCCCTCCTTCTGTGAGCCTCTGATCTCTGGCGAGCCCTCCCGGCCCTCATGGGGTGGTAGGACCCCAGGTCACTCACCAGGATGGGCCCCGCTTCCGCAGAGATACAGACCCCTGAGAGGGCAGCGGTAGCCCGAGTGCAGGGGTACAGGGCGGGCGAAGTAGAGCTGGTCCAGGGACATGGCACAGTGGAATATGTTCTGCAGAGACAGGGCCGCGGTCGTTAACATAAGAGTCTTACAGCTTTTACCGCCCTGGCTGGGTTCCTTCCCCTCCCCCGTTCTCCAAGGAAGGTTCTTCTCCTTCCAGGATCTTTTCTTGGGTTCTTAAAATGCAGAAAGGAGAAGGGATGGGACAGGACAGGCGCATGCCCTGGGCTGGGGTGCAGCTTTCCAGAGGCCTTGTTCAGGGAGGAAGCAGGGTGGGGTGCGCCTTCAGAGCATGAGGAAACAGGGTGGGAAAGAAAAGGTGCGGCTATCAGGGTTTTACTGTCGACGATGAGCCCCCTGGCTCTGTCTGGGAAGCAGGAGAGGGCTCGTTTTGGCCGCTGGCATGCACTCCTGCCAGAACAGGCCTCCGTGGCCAAGGCATCCCCTGGAGCCCAGACCCGGCACCCGACCCAGCATAGGGTCACCCGGAGTGGCAGACACGGGCTGTGGGACCCGGGCGAGGTTGTGCTCTGTGGGCTTGGGTGCGACCAGCCCTGGCCGAGCAGGGGGCAGCGGGGACGAGGGGAAGCATCTGCTGGACGTCACCCCGGGATGTCCCCCGCCCTCCCCGGCTCCCTCACCCTGCCCCTAACTGCGCCCACCCCCTTCCCTCAAGTCCATTCCTCCCCACCTTCCTGCCTCAGTGGACGACACCATGTCCTCCTCTTGGCCTTGAGGCTGGCCCTTAACGTCCCCTCCACGCCGTGCACACTGTCCCCAAGGCGTCCTAAGTCCACCACCCCCATGCCGTCAGCACCCACCCGTTCCCTTTCTTCCCACGGCCTGGCTTTCCCCACTCTGCACTTGGATAAGCACAGTCCTATGAAACCGTCATGGGGTCACCTATGTAATTTTATTTTTTATTTTATTTTATTGTTTAGAGCCAAGGCCTCGCTCTGTTGCCCAGGCTGGAGTGCAGTGGCATGATCAGAGCTCACTGCAGCCTCCAACTCAAGTGATCCTTCCTGCCTCAGCCTCCCAAGTAGCTGGGATTCCAGGCACGCACCACCACACCTAGCTAATTTCTAAATTTTGTTCTGTAAAGACAAGGCCTCACTACGTCTCCCAGGTTGGTTTCAAACTCCTGGGCTCAAGCAGTCCTCCCACCTCGGCCACCCAAAGTGCTGGGTTTACACGAGTGAGCTGCTGTGCCTGGCTATATATAGACTTTTAGATGTACTAGTAGCCACGTTTACAAAGTAAAAACGAGCTGGTGAAATGAATGCCAATATTATTTAGCTCAATAAATCCAAAATGTTGCCATTTCGCCATGCAGTCAACGTCAAAGTTATTGATGAGACACTCTACATTGTTTCCATAGAAGGCACTGCACGTTGTGTGTTCTACACTTGCAACACACCTCAAACTAGCCTAGGACCTGCTCAGGACTCAGTAGCCACATAAGGCTATTGGACTTGGCCTCCAGTTGGCCTCCCTGCCTCCAGTCTCTAGTTTTTGACAAACCAAGAAGTCTGAGGGTGTGCTGGAAAGAAAGCCAGACGGGAGGGCCGGGATTGTGGCTAGACGCCTGTAATCCCAGTGCTTTGGGAGGCTGACGTGGGAGGATTGTCTGAGCTCAGGAGTTCATGGCCAGCCTGGGCAACATAGACAGACCCCATCTCTTCAGAAATAAAAGTAATAAATAAAAGCCAGATGGGAGAGCGGACATGGATGCTGAGGCAGAGGCCACAATCGCAGAGGCCTTCTCAGCGGCCGTCTTACCCGTGTCTCTCTGTCCCCACCCCTGCCTAGATCTGACCACTTCTGTGTCATTACCTAGATCTGACCACTTCTGTGTGCCTCTCAGCCAGGGTCTCCGCCGCTGCCCTCCCTTCCCAGCGAAAGGCGGCCATGGAGGGGCGAGGGCAAGCCGAGAGGCCACAGTCAGGAAGCAGGGGTGGGAGAAGAAGGATGCGCAGAGAAACCCCAGGCTTGCACTCACCCCTCCCGGAAGCCCAAAGATCCTCTCCAAGTCTGGTGGCGTGAGGATGTCTCTGCCCACCACAGAGTCCTTGAAGCCGGGGGCGTAGGCCTCGATGCAGTCAAACACTGGGCACCATGAGCAGAGAAGCGGGGGTGTCAGGGAAAGGGCAGGCGTCATGGTCATGTGATGGCAAGGTTACCAACCCTTGTGGAATTATGCACTCGAGAGGGCTGATTTTATCCCATACAAGTTACACCCCAATAAGTAAAAACAAAAATCGGTCCACAGGCAAATAAGTAACTCATCTCAAAGACCTACGGATGGGGCAGTCTAATCCCCCACTCCTTCCCACCTCCTTACCCCAGTCCCAAACACAAAGGTACTTGTCTCTTCTTGAATATGCAAAGCAGTTGGCACCTCTTGGCTTTGCTCAAGCTGTTTCTTTTGCTTGGAATGCCTTTTGCTGCCTGGCCCACTCCTATTCATCCTTTAAAACCCCGCTCGAATGTCCCTCCCTTTGAAAGCCTTCCTTGTCTCTGGCCCACGGCTTCCTCCTCTGACGGGTATGCTCTGCTGTCTCGCATGACTGGTGTCCTAAAGAGCGTCCCTCTCTAGTCTGCGAGCCACTTGAGGGAAGGGGCTGCGTCTTTTGGCTCTCCCAGCCCAGTGCCGACCCCTGCAGACATTCCCAATGCTGACTTGAGGTCGTCTCTCCCTGGGAGGCAGCGCCTGCGGGTGTCGATCTGAGTGGGGCCGTTGGGGCGCCTGCTGACGTCGCCCTGGACGCGGGGCTCGGAGCCCTCTTTACCTGTGTCCGCGTACGCGTTTCTCTCCTGCTCGTCCCAGACCTTGCCTCCCGCCAGCGTGTAGGGCGTGTACTGGGTGAAGATGGAGACGACATGGCAGCCGGGCGGAGCCAGGGTGGGGTCCAGCGAGGACGGGATGCAGAGCTCGATCATCGGCCTGTGGCGGTGGCGGGCAGGGAGAAGAGGGCGGGTCTGAGGAGCTGCAGCACCTGGGACGGGGCCCTGGGGGGACGGGGGACACGGCGGAGGCCCGCGGCAAAGGTCGATGGGCAGGGTGGAAAGACGGTGGATTTCCAGGAAGGGTGGTGGTGCAGCCGTGAGGCAGGTGGGAAAGCTCCTGCGGGAAGACCAGAAATAAGAGCCCACGGGCCGGGCGTGGGGGCTCACGCCTGTCATCCCAGCACTCTGGGAGGTCGAGGTGGGAGGCCTGCCCGAGCCCAGGAGCTCGAGACCAGCCTGGGCAACATGGTGAGACCTCGTCTCTACAATAAATAAAAAAAATTAGCCGAGTGTGGTGGTGCACTGGTAGTCTCAGCTCCTTGGGAGGCTGAGGCGGGAGGATCACCTGAGCCTGGGAGGTCGAGGCTGAGGTGAGCCTTGATGGTCCCACTGCACTCCAGCCTGGACGACAGAGTGAGACTCTGACTTGAAAAACGAAAAAGAGCTGGCCTCGGTGGCTCAGCCTGTCATCCCGCACCTTTGGGAGGCTGAGGTGAGTGGATTGCCTGAGCCCGCGGGTTCAAGACCCGCCTGGGCAGCAAGACCTCATCTCTACAAT